AGAAAAACTTGGTGGAATTTTTCCTTCTTGAAGAGATTTCCTAATAAGGAAATTGATGATTGACGGGAAAGAGTTTTGTTATTGTTTTGTTAAGGAAATAAATTTTTTTAATATCTTATAAAATATCAAATATGAAAAAACAATATTAATAAAGAAATTTTACAATTTTAATACAATTCAAATATTAACTTAACAAATAATAATAAACCAATTTAATAATTAAACTAATTGATATAATTTTCAAACTTTTTTCTTAAAATTTTTTTATGCTCTTTTAAGATAAAATAAATTATTAAGAAAACATTATCTCTCCAAGATTAGATAATTATTTTTTTTTCTTGTTCAATGATTTTTTATTAGAAATATATTTAATACAATAAAAAATTGACATGTATAATAATATATTTTAATATTTTAATATTAATTATGTATTAAAATCTTATTTATTAATAAAGATTGTAAAAAATATTTTACTTGGCCATGAAAAAAAAATGAAACTTTTTTTTATATATAATGTTTTTTTAAAAAAATTTTTTTTATAGTAAGAAACAAATATTTTTATTAACTTTTAATATTCAAAAATTATTTATACTTTTTTTATTTTATTACAAGAATCTTAAAAAAACTAAAAAAATATATTAATAAATTAAGATGAAATCTTGGGTTAAGAAAAAGCAAGTTTGAAGACTTGTTTTTTTTTGAATTGTATAAGTAAAAGCTTATAACAGTTGTTTTTTTATAAATTTTTTTTGTAATTTCTCTTATTTTTATTCTATATTTTTTATTAAATAAACAAATTTTTTTAAAGGGATATTTTTTTATTTAAAAAATCAAAATTTATATTAAAATTATTTATACTATTAATTTGAAATATCCACAATATATATAATATCTATTTTTTAATATTACCTAATATATATCATTATATTATAAAATTTTTTTTATTAAAAATCATAATTAGTTTATTCTTATTAATTAATTATTATTTTAAATTTAATTAATTAAATATTATTAAATATTAAAACAAATTGATATTATTATTATACTATATATTAATTAATATAAATAAAATCACTTTTGATAGTAACAATTATAACAAAATTATATTATTGATAATCAAACTAATTATTATATTAACTATCAATTATATTAATATAACAACAACAACAATTTTAATAATAAACAATATTATATATGATTTATTATTTATAATAATATTCAAGAATTTTTTTGAAAAAATAATTAGTCATCTACTTATAGATTTTATAGTTTATTTGATTTGATTTTAATTTTAATTATGGTTATTATTATTATTTTTTAAATTACTTTATATTCAAAAAATCAAAAAGTTTTATAAAATTTTTAGAGTTGATAAATCTAATTATTATTTAGTTTTATTTTAGAATATTAATATTGCTTTTGAATTTTTTTTCAATATTAGTTAAATATTTTTTTATAGACAAGTTAATATTTAACTTGTTGAATACTTTGTATCCAAGAGATATTATTTCTTTTATAATATATATTGTATCTTGTTATATACAATATCAAATAAAGAATATTATTTATTTACTGAAAAAACCTTTTCCCAAAAATGAAAATTCTATTAATAATTTTAAATCTTTTAATTTAATTTAATTTTGTTTTAATTATATTATTGTAAAAAGGTTTTTATTTTTTAAAAGTAAATAAAATAAAATAATTATATATTTTAATATTTTTATTTTGAATTTTAGAAAAAAAAAAATATACTTATTATCATTATTTGTGATTTTAAAATGGACACATTTAATTATTTTTTTAAAACAAATATTAAATTAAAATAGCTCAAGATTGAAAAGTTTCCTTTATATTATTAGAGTTTGTCATATCAGTTTTGAATTGTAAAAATTTTGTAAATAATTATATATTTGTGGCAACTTATAAAGTATTGTTACTGTATTATATACTTATAGGTTGCTTGATGTTTAACATCTATATACAAAATAAAAAAAATTGTAACAGTTATTAACCCATTAATGAAATTCCTATTTAATTTGTTAAATAAATAAATAAATAAATAGATGATATTTGTATTTTAAAAAAAATAATTATAACAATATACGGTAATTATAAATAAATAGAAGTAATAATATTTCTGCTATTTATTTTTTTAAAAAAAAAAATTATCAAACACAAATGTTAAATGTTTTGCAATCGATTTTCAAACACCAATTATTAGGTGCACTGCTTATCGATTAAATGATTTTAGAAATACCTGTAGATATTTTCAAAATTATATAAAAACTAAAATTTTTTTTTAATATTTTGGAAATTGAATTATATTATAGTAAAAAAAAAAAAAAATCGGGATTCAAAATAACAGATAAAATTCAAAAGAAATATAAACGTAATATTGTCAGAAAATCATTTTTAATTTTAAATATTCGTTTTAAATGAAATAATAAAATATCTCGGAGAAATATAAAATTCACGATTTTTATAAACTTTAATTCATAAATTGGTTCAATCAATATTTACCACAGCATATACTGTAACTTTAAACAAGTACTGCATACAGTATTTGGTATTACAGTATTATAGCATGTGAATGATTTACGGATTTTCACATGACCTTATCAATCATTTACGATATTTTCTCTTGCTTGAATAATTTCATAAATAACTCCGATAAAATAATTCTTGTGGTAGTTTTATACGAACCGAGTGAGATGGATTAAACATTATTTAAAACTAGTAGTTATCATCATTGAATCGAGTCATTAAGCCGAGCCTCGTTAAATCATCAATAATTATCATATGTGCTAATACTGTAACGTGAGACAACGCGTAGTTGCATCACTTTTTGTCTGAATAACAATAATGTCAGATTCTTCCGGAATTTTAGATATTGTGAGCAGTACAGTATTCAGCATCTGTAATACTTGCACACCGCGGCTCTCCATTTCAAAATTCTCAAAATGAAGCTTAATTCGACATAGTATATTACCAAATGCATAATGCAGTAATTTTGATTTCTTATTACGTCGTGAGCGGTATAATTGTTAATATAAAGTACATTGGAAATCGCAGTAAGCTTCAGAAATGGAATCCACGGTGGGGGTCAACCGGATGTTATTTAAGGTTCGATGACAAAGCCACACTTTGTTTTTCCAGAAACGAGTGATTTAGATAGAATATTTAAACAAAGATTATTTTTTAAAGGTAAAAAGACAATTAAACACGCCCCCCCTAAAAAAAAAAAAACCAACTTTTCCATAATTGTATTTATTATTCTTATCAACGCAATTCGGGTACAATATCAAAGTCTCCGCATTATTTCTTCTGATTGATGTTTTTTCAGGGTCTTCGCGTAGTGAGCACGTTGAATGTGATTATGATATTCTTTTACATAAATAGCTTTTTTCGAGTGATGTCATTCCATCCGATGATTGCAGTACAAACGCCCCAAAACCAGCTGCGTTATGATGTCAGCTTTGTGTTAAAGTTTTTATATCGTGAATGTAGACGGCTTTATGTAGGATAATACGAAATGAAGAATCCGGAAATGCCATGAGATTTGAGGTGTGAAGGCACATTGTATATAAAAAGGTCAAAGTTCCAAGTACAATCTCTAATCCAAGTCGTAAAGAGCTATAATTGAATACGTTTTTTAAAACTCAAACATTTCACTATTTTGTAAGATGAATAATAACAATCATCAACCTGCTCGCCTTTTCCAACAACAAATCCCACAAATAGTCGGACATCCTCTTCCAGGAAATCTTCAACGCCATATAATCATGGGCGCTATTTACCCGTTTGAACCTGTGCCTCCACTCGGCGCCGTATCACCAACTCCAACGTTCGTGGAGGCGATAATTGAGGGTAGATAAGCATGATTTTCAATTCAATTCTTTTCATGTGGTGGTTTTCTTTTTTGTTCTATTTGGATTCTCTCGGAGTTAGCTGTGAAGATTACGGTACTTGCACGGAAATTACGTGTTTTTTTGGTGGTCCCTTTGTGTGAAATTATTCAATGTGGTTCAAACACCAGACAAACAATTCCAAATTTTTTTCTACACAATAAATTGTCTTTTCTAGTTGACGTACCGTAAATAACAGATGATATTGTAGGATGTAAAAAATTTATTTGATTCATTTGATTTTACTTAAAAATAAATTATTATAACAATTTAAATTATTATTATTTATTAGTCTTTAATTGTTGGATTGTGCACAATCGCTTTTTCATAACTGTAAAACCTTAAAATTAATAGCACGTGAAGATCACGTGATAACACAAAGACATAATTTATCTACGTAGAGTGTTTGCGCGCATGTACCGTATAATTGTTGTTTCATAAAAAAAAAGCAGAAAAAGTAAAAGTAGAAAAGAAAAGTGAGAGAAAAGAAGAAATGAGAGAAAAAAGGTACGAGGATGTTTTATCAGCCAACGAAAAAGATGACATGAAATTGATAGCTTCGTTAACCTGATTGGCCTTCTCTTGATCACATCCTTTTCGGCAGGAAACAACTATAATGTCTTCAGCATTAAGCTGAAGACTTCGATAATATTTCATCGATTTCGATGCATAGGGCCCGTTCTATTTCTTCCAAGTCGTTTCGCCTGGGTACCATGTTTATGAAACATGTGTTCCCGTCGTCTTCGACAGACTCTATGACGTTTACATTCCCATCTCCAATGTTACTAATCCTTATCCGCTTCTCGCATTTTCTCTTTATAGACTCCGTATCACAACGTCCTTTTGTAGCGGAATCCATACTGTCCCACAACGCGGATGCAATCATGGAGACTTCTTTCATCGAAAGACCTGGAGAATTGTCTTGGACTACCATACGATGACACATAAATGAATTTCGCGAATAGTTCGAAGAATTTCGTCCTTCCAACCTCGAAGCGAGTTGGGGATTTTCGTGAATGAAATTATCGAAATTAGAATTCATTAGCGCACGAAATTGAGGGTCAGTAACAAGGAATTGATGCTTATATATCTTTTTCTTACTCAGACAATACCATCCCTGTGAAAATGCAATGTTCTTAAAATAATTTTTATTATTATGGAAACCGATCAAAGACGGAGGCTTAAGGTTATGCTAAGAGATGCACGGTCAAATGAAATGAATTGAATTGAAGGGCAAGCAAAGTAGACAATAAAGCCACGGTAAGAAAAATTTTCCGAAAAAAAAAAGACTCGTTCACGAAATTGGATTTACAGACCTGCATACGTATACGTGCTGGTTACACACGGATCTCCATTTTATCTGCTAGCAGAGACAAAGGAAACGGGTGATGGAAAACCGCAACTTCACATTAATCATACCGAAGTCCGGTTACGTAGATTGATAGATAGAATTTGACAATGGATTAAAGTTGACTTCTTAAGATATAATGGTTCGACGTGAAGCTGTTTAAAAATATAAATGGTAAACCAAAGACCGCAATCGTTAGTTAAAAAGGTTTTCGCAAAACTTACTCCGATTTTCAGTATTCGGTAGAATTCAAAAGTCAAAAAGGATAACAACTTCATGATTATGATCAATCTAATAAAGATTTTTACAAATTTTCCCTACTGTTAGTACATAAAGATGGGTGCTGCAGCTCTTTCATTCATTGTGCTATCACCACAACATGCAACATCCAACAATACTAAACAGCCTGGCTTTTGATTACCATCATTCACAATCTAGATTTCCCTCGTTCAAAATTGACAGATACGAATTCACGTATGAACGATTAGCACGGAAGGTCATCATCATCAATCGACGCGAGCATTCTTGTTGCCGGATCATTCTTCGAAGATTCGCACAACACATATCAAAGACACGCGTCTCCAATCGAAACTGAGACAATTAATACGTCCGAAAGTAAAATTATCACTGCAACATAAATTACCAAGCGGGGCACATGTAAACACGCAAGAGATTAACGCGAAATTGTTTGTGCAGAAAGAATTTCTCGAATTCTTCACACACTTGAATCTAACCTACAACATACCTACACAGCGTGGTTAACAAAAGAACAATCCAAATATAAAATGAGTTATATCTGAATTGTCTCACGGAATAGATGTAAATCAAAGAACCTTGCCAAGGAAATTGTGCCCAATGTCGATATTGTAGCTCCGGTCGCGACTTCTTGTTGTTTGTTCGCCTGCTCAGAGCTTAGACTACGCGACGTCCATGCCGTCTTGAGATTTATTAGTGATCACGTGAATACAATCGCGCACCCTTAGATAATTAATAATTTATACAATACGTTGGCTTTGAATTCTTTGTTTTTATTTTTAGATAAAAGAAAAAGAATATGCAATAATAAAGTTAGGATTACAACATACTTTCATGATGCATCACAAGAGTCTGCATGTGGATGGCTGTGACCTTGCCGGAGAAAGAAAAATCAATGATTATGTAACAAAGCCGCTCCTTATCAAACAATCACACAAAGAACAGATTGTTTCTCATTGAATCTTAATTCGATTTAAGGTTCCGGCGTCGGTGTACCTCATGACCTTTTTACGAGTTTACACTGCATATTTCGAGAAGGAAAATAAAATAATAAAAATGAATAAAAAAGAAAAAAACAAAGATAATTATAAGGATATATTAAATGAATGATTCATTCTGCTTAGTGCATTAAATTTGTGCACCTGAAGATAAAAAAAGAGAAAAGAAAGAAAGAATTCACGAGATTTCATAACGTACGTGTCCCGCAAAAAGAACTCTTCCATATTTGAATTCATTTCATTTCTTGTATTGGCAACAAAATTAAAAAAAAGAAAAAAGAACAGTCATGAATTTAAATTATAACGTTTCTATGTTAATTTCTTCGATAGACTGACATGATAAAGGTAGTTCTCGTTTTTCAAGGAAAGAAAAAATAAAACAACCAAGTGAAGATCAGAGACCACGTATGCTAATAAATCCATATTTTTGATTGGCAGATTACAACCTGCAAATGAACAAACCACTACCATATAAGGTGAAATTTATAAGACTCTTGTCACACAGATTACTTTAAATTACATGCTTTTATGTACAATAATTGAGATTGCATGTATCTTTCGATTAGGAACGCGAAATATTCGTAGTTGCCGAAAAGAATGTCAAACGTTTTCAATAATTACGCGTAAGAAGCTACTGGTTCGATCGGTAAAGTAAATATATAAAAAATGCATGCATACTTTACTTTAACGCAAATTAAAATACCGTACATTTTGACATAATCAAGATTGTGAGTGATAGGTATTGTGTAACAACTCGGAGTATAGATTCCAGAACGGTATAGATAAATAACAAATAAATTGCGTCCCGCCTGCCCATTCCCTCACTCAACGTTTTAAATCTTTTTTTTCTTGTTTTTGGATCAAATATACTGTACATACGCTTCAAATTTAAGAATCTATTCACGATGACGAAAAATGCGAAAAACGGCAATGGGTACCTGATCTTCCGAACCATAAAACTAGTTGAGCGTCAAGATCGCAATAATCCAATCAAAATGGTCGACCATTCGGACGCAACTAGCAGAGAATGGAACGAATTACCGCAAGAGGAACAACTGATATACTTACAAATCCACGAAATATTGAGTGGAAAGTATAAAGTGGATTTTAATGATCTACGTCTTTTGGTATTTCATTATGATCCAGCTTTAAAATTGAATGACAAAGTCCTAGAGAATGATGAAGATAACTTCAGACTCTACCCGCAGTATAAAAAGTGGTACGATCTTATAAAAGGCAAGGGCTCCGGTTCCACGACACCCGAAGAGCCGCCGCCGCCGCCAAAAAATAATTTTTATGAAAGCATAGAAGCAACGAATGAGGACTATTTCTACGCCTATTCACCTGCACCCGAAGAGATAGATTATGATCACGATCGTTTATTGAATAGTTATTGCAATTCTCATGAGTATCTGTTAAATCAATGCTATTACAATTTTCATGAGTACATGTTAAATCAATATTATTACAATTTTCACGGTAGTCAATGTTAAGTTTGTAACAACATCGCTTTCTTTCGTATATCCAAACACGTGATCTGTACACGATTTGCCAAAACCGATTTTTTTCCTGATATGGTAATATTTTTGCGCACAAGAATACATTTCCCCCCGAAATCTTCATGTACGCGATTCTTTTCGTATCGTGATTTTTTGCGCCTTTTTTTTTTGTTTTTTTTTTTTAAAATAAAGTGTTTTAGACACGATTAAACAACGCGATTAAAAACAACCTAATCGAAACTATCGTCTGGTTTTTTTCTGTTTTTGTTACTTTCGGTTACTTGTCAGTTATGCAAGCTCCGAACACTACGACTTTTTTTTTTTACTTATGGTAATAACATTGTTTAATTATATTTGTTGGGGATTGATCGATAATGAAGGTTTTTCCTACATGCAGATAAAAAAAACTTAAAAAAGTTAATTTGTGCTTTTTTTATTGATGAGCCTTACCATAAAAAGTTATATGCTTCACATTCCGCCGGACATCCGTTACGCCTTGTCTCTGCGGCGACCAGAGCATAATAAATTTGTACATGAAATGAGAGCTGTTAACAACACCATATTCTTTCAATTTCATGAGCTAATTTTAGGCGCTACCTTTAAACGAGGACCAGTATCATGTTATTTCATTGTTTTTGGATTCTTTGAATATTTTGCTATCGTGCCCTGAACTTGGTTTTTTATAATAATATACTATTCCACGATGTTAAATCTGATGTCAGAAATAATGCATGCTCAAATATGCCATATTTACTGCAAAAAAATGCTGTATTCATCATGTATCTGTTAAAGTAGATTTAATCAAGATCTATCTTAGGCAAACGATCTTGCATTTTAATTGGAATATTTACACTAGTGTATATAACGTTGAATTAGTTGGTTATACAGTATAAATTCCCATTGATGCGTAAAAATAAAATGACTTCTCCGACTTTCTTAAACCATAAAGCTTAACTCTAATTAGAAGATAACCTGATTTTTAATGATTACCTAATGGTTGATTTTTTTGATTTTTTTTTTTTTTTTTGTGAAAAAAAGGTAAAAAAAGAATGAAATAAATAAAATAGAAATAAAATAGATAAATGATAAAGAAAAAAGAAAAGATAAATAGATAATGAAAAATAAAAATGATAAATGAAAAATGAAAAAAGAAATAGATAAAAGAAAAGTGAAAAAGAAAAAGATAAAGTAGAAAAAAGAATGAAAATGAAATAAGAAGAATGAAAATGAAATAAGAAAAATTAAAATGAAATGAGAAAAATTAAAAAATGAAAATAAAAAACGAAAAATAAAAGAAAATGTAAAAATAGTAAAGGAAAAGGAAAGGAAAAGCTGGAAAAAGAAAGACTTTACAAATTAGTTTCCGATGTTAATAATAATAATTATTGTTGTAATTATTATTGTAATTATTAAAAATAATAAGATAGTTCAAATAATATTACTTAATGTACGTTAATATAAATTTTTAATTAAGTATCGTAAATGATCTATTAGAAATGTTACTCTAGAAAAAACCCTAATAATTATAATTGCCTAGATGGTTCGATATCAACGTAATTTTCGTAAAATAAATAAATAGTAATGGCAATAACCAAATAATATAGCGAGACGACAATACATTATACTATTACTGTATAAATTATTGTAAAATTTTTGATTGCATTTTAAAATCCTAATTAATATCAACTACTGTATATATTTAATATGTGCTTATTTTATGAATAAAAGTAACATGTTGCTTTTTTCTCCGTACGTGTCACTATGTAAGATCATAGTAACACGAGATTACGTCACAACTATTATTATGTTTAAGCATTGTATTCTAATTTAAGAATTTTAATTTATAAAACTTTTAGGTTATCGATTTTGAGCAACCGAATAAGAAGCCTCTTTGTTTTTCACTTTTTTTTTTAAAAACAAATTTATCGATATTTTCGTAATCTCGATTTATTCCATTTTTATGTATACTATATCTAACCTAATTTATTCTATTTTTTATATATACTATCTTGATATTTATTAATATATTATATATATGGATTTCATGTATGCAGTTGTATATTGTATTCCACGTATACTAAATATTTAAACCTTATTCTATATATGCAGTGTATATATAAAGCTTTTTCATTTATTTTTTTATATGCTAGTCTGATTACTTTTACTTTGTTAATTTTCGTTTTTTTTTTTTTTATAATGATTCAAAAATAATAAAGTATTGCATATCACAATATGAATGACTAGAAAAATAAAATAAGTCTTACCTATAACAATGTATTGTATTTATCAATAAAAAAATCATTTAACAGTATGTTGATGACGCCTTTTACTTTACTTTAAAAGGTTTTTTTAAACATATTTTATTCTCTGATATCAAATAAAATATAAAATATTTGATATCACTTATTCATAGTGCATATTGTATCATTACAAAATACGAGAAATTTCTGATAATGTTAATACTGTATACTGCATATTTTAAAAAAGCATTTGATAAGTTAAAAAATTCGTCAGTTTTTTATAAACGCCATTTGAATTATTTAATATTTTTATAGATTTACAATTTTAACATAATAGTTATTACATTGGTTCTTATTATTGTTATCTAAATTAAACTCATGATATAAATAATGTTAATATATAAGCAATATGAATTTATAAATGACATTATTATAAAAACAATATCAAAACCAAATAACCAATTTTACTGTAATACAATCAATCTTCACTTATTCCAATTTCATTCAAAAATCAAATAATTATGAATCATCTCAAGTTATTTAATTAATTAATTTTAATAGTAAATCATATCAACGAAAATCCTTTTCAATTTAATATAAATTTAAATTATTTGTTTATTTATTTGTTTTTGTTTTTATTTTTTATTGCAAATAATCATTAAATAAATAAAAATTTTTTAAATATATTTTTACTATTATTGCATTAATAATCTTAAATGTTAAACTATATGGCTAAGTTAATACAAGTGATAATATATTTGTTATTAATATAAAAAGCTTTTAAATATTTTATCTTAATTTGATAAGTTTGTTATTGTTATTATTTCTAACAAACTAATATTGGTTTGAATAAAAATATTATAATTAGATTAACTATTAAATATTGTATATTTATCATTTAAAAGAAATAAATTAATTTTAATTTTTGAATTTGAATAGATTTTTGAAATTGTTAAAATGATATAACAAAATGTATTATAAAGTATTGTTTATAAAGATTTGATTAAAACAAGTATAAAAACATGCATCTTTATTTGAATATATTATTAAAAGGATATTTACAATATTAATAAGAAGAATAATAATATTTGCAATAATAATAATAACAATATATAAAAATAATATTAAAAAAAAAACTATTATATATGTAATTAAAAAGTGAATTAAACTTTTAAATTTATAAACTTTTTGATTAAAAGTTTTATTACAATGCAATAAGAATCTTTAAATCTTTGTATTCTTAAATTTAAAACTTGTAATATATAAAAAAAAAAATTTCAAAAAATTCATAATAAATAAGTTTTAAATAATTTTTTTATATTTATTAATCTAAAGTTTTTATATTAAAAACCAAATATAAACTTGTTCTTCAATACATACTTTAATTTAAAAAAAAATTGTAATAAATATATTTATTAACTTTCAATTTTTTTAATATTAAATAGAATATTTCTTATAAACTTTATTAATAAAATAAGAAGCTATTATATAATTAATATTAAGATATAAGATATATAATTATATACAATATATATCAATCTACTATATATTTCTAATAAAAATCTTAAGTAAGAAAAAAGAAAAAACTATGTAATCTTAAAAAACTAATGTTTTTCTAATAATTTATTCTTTGATCTAAAAATAAACATTCTTTTTCCAGTAATAAATTCCTCTAATATTCTACTTCTTAACACTTTCTTAAAAAAATATATTTTCAAATTCTTTTATCAAAAGAATGAATCAATATTACAAATATATATATATATAAGCACTCAAATATTTTGTGAAAAGTTATTTAAACTTCTTTAATATTTAAGATTTTAAGACTAATATACAATAATTTGATTTGAGTTTCTTTCTATAACTTTATAAAAATAAATTTAACAATTCATTACAATAATTTGAAACAACTATTTAAACTTTTATTTAATTTCTATTATTGAAACTTTCTTTTTTATTAAAAATTTGACTTTTATTTTATATATACATTAGTCTTATAATAAAATTATAATAACTATTCTAATGATTTTACTATAATTATTATATCTACTATTTAAACTATAATTTAAAAAAAGGTATAAATAAAAAAAAAGCAATAAAATTACTATAATAAAATAACTTGAATATCTCAAATTTAGGAGATTTATAATTGTTATAATATTAATCCATATGATTTTTCTTATAACTTTTAATCAAATCACTTTTTTCAAAAAACTACAATATAGTCAATAAAAAAGCTAATATCAATTATCCAATTACAAATAACAAACTTCTTAAAAAAATATATCAATTCTTTTAATTCATTAAAATTTCAGATAATTGAATTCAAATTCAATAAAACTCTTTTATTTCAAGCCCTACTAATTTTAAAAAATATTTAATATAAAATAATATTGAAATAGAAATTCCTATAATTAATAATATTGACTTTCTTTCAAAAATTCACAAATTTAAAAAAACTTACTTTTTAAAGATTTACTAATAACTATATTATTCAAATCAAATTACCTAAATTAATAAAAGATTTTACAAAAATTCTATATAAAAAAGAATTTTTACTAATACAAAACATTATCATTAAAAATTGGCTTTTTTAATATAAAAGATTTTAATGATTATATAAAATTAAAATATTTTCTATCCCTTAAATTGTAATATAGGCAAATTTGTTTATATATTTAAAATTTTAACAAGTTTTTAAAAATTTTTAATAAAATT